CATACTGATAATCATTACGTGATAATCAACGATCACGTGGATTTCACCATCAGCCGATTTCACCATCAGCCGTGACAATTATTACTGATTATCATATCGTAAATATAATTTATTCTCTATCGGTATAAATAATTATTGGTCTCCGCATATTTCATCCTCGCACCATGTACATTGATCAATACAGAATTATCAATATGGAATTACGTTTCATTTATTGTTGAGTGCCATTCAACTATAACACTCATAATTTTTTATTGACAAAAGCCTGCGCACTAGTATCACATCCCGTCCCAATTGTACTAGTTTTCGTAAAGTCATCGGCTCCCGAAGCAATTTCACCGTTTCGAACGACATCTTTTCGCTTTGCTTTCATACGGTCTAGGGTAATGTTTGATACGGCATGGTTTTGCGTGTTGACTTCCTCTTTCTGTTACGCTCACCCTTCTTGGTTTATAATCCCACCTGGATATAAATCTTTATGAATTTGCGAGGCAAGTTTGGCCAACAGATTAAAGTACTTTTTTAAGCCCTCATCTGAATGCCATATGCATGCAGCAAGTTTGCACATAACTTTACTATCGACTTTGGTATCACTGAGTATACACCGCCTTCTAGCATCAAAGTCTTTCTTGAAAATAATGAAACTGTTTTGAGGGCGTGGAGGTTGATCATCTCTACGGGAACGTGATTTGCTCAACCGAGTACCTGGGTGTACTAGATCAATGGGAGGAAGCCAAGTTTTATACGGTGGCCGAGTAAGAAGCTGAAGATTTTCGTCAGAGTATTTCGCCGAGTTTACAAAGTAATGTGATAGAGATAGATATTTAAAATTTACGTCACGCTCTTCGTACATTGATAATTTTTTTTAGTCTATTATATATAGAAACAGATGGTCAGGTTTATGGGAGAAAGATGAATTACAAGTTTATGCGATGGGCGAGTAAGAAACGAAAATATAAAGATGAGATGTTTGTGGCTTTAACAGTGTGTAACTTTTATGTAATGCTTATCACATCTTAATCCGATTGCTTCATTGTGACAATACCTTTTCTGGTTACATAATCGGAACGCTATTCCGTCCAATTCAGTTCCCAAACGAGCAACTGTTTAAATGTTATTTATGGAAATATAGTTTTGAGTGCAGTATTAATTTGTTTTTGATTAAAGCATTTTTTTTATTTGTTCGATTCCACTGTCTTTATCGTTCACAATTGTCAGATATGTATTCACTCGGAACCGAAATAAGGAAAACTCCCAATTTTGATAGTTGGTAGTAATTGAATAGGGCGACAAAAATTGGAACCTTTATTGGTCAGATTCGAATCAATGTCATGCAAATGTAACAGATCGCGCCATGCAACCGTGTAATTTTCGGCATCACTTGCGTATTTCACTTTCGTCTGCCACATCCCCATGTCGAAAAAACTTTGGGGTAAGTTAAAAATTATTATCGGTCAGTTACCGTAAATAGACACCAACTAATAAATTCATTTAGAGACAGCAGCCAGTAGCTACTTTGTTATTATTACGTAATTGTGTAGTGACGCTGATGGTAAATCTGGGACTTACTTGATCTGTGGCATTTGCTATGTGACCTTCAGCCGATTTCAGCATCAGGCGTGACAATACTTAATAAAACATTGTTGATTAATAATCTTTGTGCTGGGTGAGCATATGCCTGGTATGTATAAACTGCTAAAGTGTTATAGACGTCTGATGTCGAATGATTTGTAATCAAGCTTGATCTAAACTGCTCCGCTTTAGCCCCACCCTAAATAAAGTGATATTAATAATCAATAAACAATGTTGTTTAATAATTATTGTGACGAGGCAAATGTATAAACTACTAAAATGTTATAGAATTTTCGATAGCAAATGTTTAAACTACTAAACATGTTATAGAACTTCTAATGCCAAGGGATTTATGATCAAACCTGTTACTTTCTATGAAATACCATATGCAGTTAGTGTATATCATAATTTGTGTGGCATCAGGAAATATAAAAAGAGATACGAGACATAGCGAAACTCGTAAAAGCGGCTACGTAGAATGGAAGCGAAGCGTAGCATAGAATAGCATAGCAAAGCAAAGCAAAACATAGAATAGCATAGCATAGCAGTAGCTATTAGATTCTTAGAATATAAAATCGGGCCCGTACGGTACTGCATAATGCTAACCAAATAAAGTATATGGTTGACTTAATATGATTAATCTCGTGGTAGCAGTGATCAATTATTGAGCAAATTGTATTTGCGAAAAAGGCGCATGTACGGAAGCAAAAGTTTAATAGCGCTAATAAATAATACATGCGAATGACGAATGGAAATGCATCATCGACAAATTACCAGGTTAACATCATCTAATAGCCCAATTATCAATCATTAGGAATTAGCTAAATTATTCCATTCAATATAATTCTTAAATAGATTATCCTCTACATATAATGATCACTAATAGATCATCCACTTAGTATTAGCTGGAGTACGATTTCAATAGTGTTACAGACATATGGCCTTTCCGATCATTTACCGATCATTTCTCGATCATCAGTCATTGTTGTATATCAGATTGGAATTTATGTCCGTTCCGAACGGACAGATGGAAATTTACGTCCATTTCGAACTGAGTTATGTCAGATTGGAATAATAAAGACAATAGGTAACGACATTATAAAGTACTTTATTGATACTTGCTTGTGCATAAAACAACTGGATTTGTTATAAAATATGTTTATGTTAACAGCTTGTAAACTTTAGCATAAAGACTAATAATCTAGCACAAGTTATTACTTGCGTTATGCTTTATATTGTTTGTATACACTTAAATCTTACTTCGAATAACAATTGCTGCACAGTCGATTGCAACAGTTGACTAGTTTAAATTTCGTCTAATTCCAAAACTTGCATTCACATATGCATTGATTATACGATTTTTCTCATGACAGTATACATACAATATTTGGATAAACGTTCTAAAGCGTTTAATGCTTTACGTATGTGAATGTGGTTTTGGGGAGTAAGTGTTATGCGTAATATTATTGTATCATAAAGTAAAATTTAAGTGTAGACAAACAATATGATATAAGGCGTAATACAAGTGTTAAAGCACAAGTGCATGCATGCGCTTACATAAATTATTAATTCTTATGCTAAAACATACAAACGTTAAATTACAAGTCCAGTTGTTTATATGCAAGTAAGGTTGATTACGTCATGTTAATAAAATAAATACTTTATAATGGTTGTTATTAAATTGTCTTACTAATCAAATCTGACGTATGTCCATTCTGAACAGACGTAAAATTTTTCCTTTGACAGATGCATATTTCGAACTAATACAAACATAATTACGCATCTTTACGTTTAGGCATTTACTTTACTGCACTTTTTTATTACTAGATAACTCAGCGTCAGACCCGGATGAGCGCTTAAATTCAGATAAAAAATTTATCTGTGCAAGTACCATTGCCATTTTGAGATTCGTGGTTGTTTCATCCGATGCAACGTGTTCTATAAGACGCGACCATTGATCGAACCGACGTATTGTTGGTCATTAGCTTTCATTGTATAAGCCTTGAATTTTATTAATAAATGACAAAGTAAACATTTAATAGAATATTATTATGTATGCAACAGAAGAAAATTTTCCTATCGACACATCGATCGATTCAGGTAATAATTAAAATATAATTATATCGGCGAGACTACAAAGGCGATGCCGACTTCAGAATAAAGAGTATGATAATAATAATAAAAATTTAGTGTATTAAAAAAGAGTAGATTTGCAAAGCTAGTTCCATAAATTTTTTCACATTGTTTTGGATCTATTTTAACGTCAGTACTGCCATGGATAGTTACAAACAAATAACGCAAGAGTTGATACGTGTGCCAACCAACTCAATGTGCGCGATAACTTTGTGATTTCTACATGAAAAAAGTGTATTAGTATCGATAGAAAATAGTGTATCAGAAACTGAATCCAAGATAAACTCTTCTAGCCCCGAAATAAATATCAAGTACATAATTTGCAAATAATTGTTAGAGGAATGTATTATATTATTCAAAAATACTATAATTTAATAGTATATAAGAAGAGTTAAGAACACTTTTTGATGTTATATTAGTTAAAATGCATTTTTAAAACACTTCTATTGAAGTCGATTAAAATTACGTAAAAAGTGTGTATATAAAGAAAAAAAAAGTTGAACAAAACAAAACAAACAACACGCACCAATAGAAGAGAACTAAATATGCGATAGCTCAGACTGTGGTTGTAGCGCACATAAATAGTTTGATATCGAGATTTAATATACCGACGTCAATGGTATAAGAATCAGGCAAATCTGTCGGATCAACCGTGTACTTGAACTCAAACTTAGTACCACTCTTGACTGGGCATGCGTTAGAGAGTTTACAAAAATCGTCGTGGAAAGTCTTGTAATATTTTGCCTCGTCGTTGAAAAAAAGGATGCCAGCGTTAGCCGAGAGAATATCAACTGGCGCAGTTCCGTTAATGGAAAAAGTAACGGGCGTGCCAGAAACAATAGGATCAGGTGATATCGATACGTCGAGAAGCGGTGGGAGAGGGCTGATAGTACCACATACACCAAATTGGGTAGTTCGTTTACTTAATCCATACGGAATAGCATTAATTGCTGAAACTGTAGCAACTAACACAAAGAATAGGGAAAAAATTGGGTGCTTCATAGTTGTAGTTGTTAATCAATTAATTGGTAAGTTTTTTGGTTGATGTAATCCAAAATGCAATCATTTTATAAAAAAAAATAACAATATATTCGTAACACTAAAAGTTTGAATAATCTGCATGTGATAATCTCGTGAACCCCGTTAGGTTAAACCCCCATAAACGCAACCCGAAAGGGTTATTTTTTCGGCGGAATATCTGTGGAGTTCTTTAACCGTATAAGCGCTCCTAAATGTAACAACTCGCTCGGGTTTTAAGCCCGGAGCTTGTCAATCAATGCAACCACACGTTTTCTGCGATTGCAACGGATTTGCAATTCTGATCCAAGTGTCACTGTTGGGGCAAACAATCAACAGTAGGCATAAATCCGCGCATAGCATTGTTTGTCATAGATATTTCTTCGTTTAGCTATTGAGTAAACAAATACAGTCGTTATTTCAACAATCAATGTAACTGCATTTAAGAAAAAAAACATTGGAAAAAAACATAATAATAGAATTGGAGTATGAATAATAAATAGTTACTCTAGCCGTAAATACGCAATAGTAATGTTTTGCTTGCTAATTTTCTTGTATAAATTAAGCGTTACTATTTTTTCAAACTGTTGGGGACAAATCGACGTTATATTTCTGAAATTGTAAACCGAGTGTACAATACCATCATCTTAATGAAGTAAAACAAGATTTATTATTCCACAATCGATTTCATATTCGTCAACTTACACATGCCAAGTAAAATAAACGGTTTGCGTCGGGTTTCTATCAACGAATTCTTTTGTTCACAATCAAAATTTTACTCATATTAATATTAAATTAATTTTATCAAGTGAACGGTTTTAACATGGCAAGCAAAATAAATAGCTTAGGTCGGGTTTTCCGATTTGACAAATTTGTTTGTTGAGCATATCAAAATCTGCCCATATTAATATTAAGCCAATTTTATCAAATACATTAACCAATGAACGGCTTTATTAAAGATACAAAGTAACCTCTTTTAGTTGGCAATTTAATCTTAGTGTACATCTTCAGATCATATGTGTTTAAGTTACGGGTAAATCTTTGAATAGAGCTTGTCAGGGAAATGATCGAAGATAAGATTTAAGTATTTTTGACAACAAATCTTGCCAAAAACGGTTGCAGTATTTATATTACCATCTTAATAAAAATCATTAGCGGATTTAGCTATAGAATACATTCTTGCCGATCAACTACTTGATTGGTCTATTATATTACTCATATGAAAGAACTTATGGAAGACTTCTTTCCACGGAGTGTTCTCCAATCTAACCAAATCTTTTTAAGTAAGGAAAAAGTTTTGCATGAGAATGACAACGCAGATCACCAAACCAAATCGCAACGAGGCAATACGATTATCCAGAAAAGTAAGTAACTGAGAAAAGATAGTAGAGAGACAGAAGCAAAGAAGCGCCCTTCAGGAAGTAAAGTCTCACATGTAAACACTGCTCTAGCGGGAGGAAAATGCAGACATTGTAGAGCGTTCTAGAAATTATGAATTTTACATGTATTAAATATCTACTTAGGTACTAATAATGTATTTGGCGCTATATTACAATAGCTTGATCTCGAAAATTTTTATTACGCAATTCGTTAGAAGACGTTAAATCGCTTCCAGCAAATTTTCATTATACAGAAGTAAATGTTAATAGTAATACAGCATATACTTTATAATACTAATTCTAAATTATTGTTAGATTACTGCTTTGATAATCCAATATTTGTTGCTCGTCATTCTGTTTTCCATCGTTATACGGATAATTTGGATACCATTGAATTCGGTTTTAACTTTATTGTCTCAGTAAACACCCGCCTAATACAATACTAATACAGCGAGATACCTAAATAAGGGTAGCTATATTATATCAATAATAATCAATATTGCAACTGAGTGCATTTTGAGGAAATTACTGTTGATCGCAGCCTGTTCCATCGCGCGTAGATTAGCACTTCACTTGTAAATGTTACTGTCTGTGTTACAGATAAATATGGAATTCCGTTCCGTATGACAATCACCAAGTAACAGTGTTGGGAATATAATTTGCGTCGTCGTTATGTAATCACTGTGCACATGGAATTCGTGGAAAGATTTTCAAGCATGTAATTTGTTCCAAATTTCCAAACGTAATTTACATATGTATGATAACCTTTCGAATTGCATTACCAGGATCGGCCTGTATGTAATGCAAAAATGTACCAGGTACAAAAAGTGACGAAAACTCACGTCAGATCTCATCGTGTATCGTTACAAAGATTGACAAAGTATACTATATATAGTACATATCTGTCGCATGTAAAGTTTAAGGTCGGAGTTATCGTCACATTTGTAATTGACGTACACCGCAAAATGAATATTATTATAGATCTACAAGGAGGGATAATAGTTCAAGCCTTTCTTCTTATGGGGGAACGGATGAAATAGCCAAGAAATTATTCAAAAACTATGTTGCTTTGGCAAGAATGAAGTATGTAATAATAAATAACAATAAAATGAAGAAGCTTTTTTCGAGCATGTCTAGAGCGGAGCAGATCTTCATTAATCGACTTGGTACTACATCCAATAAAAAACTGCAGCCACTTTGGTTTTTCTTTCTGCCGATCGTTTGACGATCACTATATAGCGCCAGTGGCTGTATTTTTTTCCGTATTTAACTACACTTTTTTAAAAGACACTTTCTGGAAAACGCGGAATACCGTTTATGGTATTTAAAGTACACTTTTTCGACCCAACTGTCCGGTAAAAAAGTGCATTTAAATACGCTTTTTCTGTAAAACGCTAAATGCCGTTTATGGAGTTAGGCTAAAGCGGAGTAGTTTATGCCACACAGCAGGTGCCACAAATTGACTAAGCAGTGTTGGTGCCACACATGGATATCATGTGATACATCCGTCTCAACATTAATTCTGTATTTGAAACTCGCTTGTTTCGAAACACAAAGTTACGCGTCAGTTTTAAACGGCTTTACAATTTCAATACATCAAATTTAGCGTTACGGGTATGTTGAAACTCTTTATTTGTTACTTCAGACGAGGCTGGAATAGTCATTGAAAACACATGCAGTTAGACATATGTTTGAGCGTTCGGTGATGAGTTACGATCATGCTTACATGTTGTTTGTACATTTGTTTACGCCGGTAATGAGACATTAGGAGACGTTAGAACTGTCATAGAAAGAGGCACTGCACTTTGATACGATACAATGCATTTATTGATCACAATGGAAGGGTAGGAAGAATACGTGTGTTTCAGGAAAAGATATAAATTGAATAGCTAAATTCTACCTTCTGTAACGAGAAATTTTCACATACAGTACAGTAATTGGCAGCCGATAAATGTAAACTTATTTCACCCAAATAAGAATAGATATACTATATCAATAATAATCAATATTGCAGCCTGAGTGCATTTTGAAGAGATTACTGTTAATTGCAGCTTGCTCCATTGTGCGTAGATTAGCACTTTACTTGTAAATGTTACTGCCTGCGTTACAGATAAATATGGAATTAATATTATACTTGGCATTCCGATTTTGACATATGTCAATTCAGAATGAACACAAATTTTGATCTGACATACAACAACTGTGCATCAGAAACTAAATCCAAGACAAACTCCTGAGATAAGTATTACGTACATAATCTGCAAACAATTATCAGAATATTATATTATTCAGAAATACTATGATTTAATGTATATAAGAAGAGTTAAAAATTTTTTTCATAATCATATATTAATTAATATGCATTTTTAAAATATTTAACGTAAAGTAAATTTCTGTCATCACCACCTGATTATCACCCGATCAAATTTCTCTCTGCAAACCTTTTCCATTGGTTGATAAAAGCCTACTTTTCCTTTTTAAAAATGAAACTAACCTCATATTACCATATTAAGCATTTTTTCTTTGGTAGATCAATTGCGACGGAAATTATATCTATGATCAGATCCCACCCAGCCCACCCTTTGAGGGGGCGTGTGCTTTTATATCTTTTGTGATTGATATATATTTTGCTTTCCTTAATAATTTACTATAAATTTACTATAATTATTTAAATAAAAACTAAGAATCGGCCTTCACTTTGCAATTACAATAATCCATGCTCAACCGCCTATTTTCTAAAAAGAAAATCATTATTCATATGCCTTGTCAACTTTTTTTCGTAGCATACAACGTGATTAACTGCCTATATATAATATACACTCAACTATTATTGCAAGTCGATTTGCATATTTCTTTTCAACTTGTCATGTTATTAATCAATTATGAATTCCTTTTTCTTCCCACATTTTCTCTTTTCCCTACCTTCCTTCCCCTCGAAAATTGTAACGTAATTAAAAATCAGACAGTACAGTATGATATACGAAATATTATTACGTCCTTTTCTTTGACTTGGTCAAAAAAAAAAAAACTTGTTATGTCGTTCAGTCATGCTATGTTTGCCTCGGACTTCGTAATCGTTTCACAATCTATTTGTGTCTATTGTCTGATCTCACTCACTAAATATGGATTTGTATCGTTTCACAATATTATTTGTATCCTACTAATAAGACTAATTAAATTTCCGTTCCCCAATATTTTTGATTATTACGCGCATAAATTAAGATATACATTTCGCCTTTTTTGTATAATTTGGTTCTGTTCGTAAAGAAAAGTACGATTGTGATTTATGGTCTGGTCCATAGCGAAATTCAGCCCAATCCAAAATCGGGCTGGTCCAGACCACATATTATTTCGCTAGTCCAGATTCATGACGTATTTCCCATTTTCCTTCATATGATTGTGAAAAATTCTTGTGCGACATTTATTCTTAGCGCCTATTCTGTAAGAATTTCTTACTCTATGTCGTTCAGACATGTACACTAACAATACAAAATCACTAAAATAATTCTTTTTATATCCCAAACATCTTCATCAGTTCTTATAAGCGGCCTGACTTTATAATTTCATAGAATACACATAATATGAATGTCCGTCATAATGAACATCAAATACATGATGACACTTAAATGTTACAAAACCGGCGAACGCATCTAATGCGCCTCACAGTTAAATCTGGATCCTCCATGTTGTCTGCATTTTATCATCCGATTCATTTTCAGACTTAACACTTTTCTTTATATAGTCATGAAATAATTTCCATACCATCTATTGTGTCGTCAATCTGACATACTAGAACTTTTCAATACAAGCTTTATACGCCTAGTAGCTAAATATGGTTTAAAATAAATCGTGTGAAATAAAGCGGATATGACTCACATGAGTAAAACCTATATATACACATATATATATCCTCTCATTTCTGCAAGTAATAACATACCGTACAATCCATTACACTATCCTTCTAATAAACGATAATAAACAATAATCTATTTATCAGTTTGAAAAAAAATAACGTCTCAAGCCCTCGATATATTTACCGTCGATGCTCTTCAAGAAAACAAAATGGTTTTTTGTAACGTTATTAAGTCATAGTCTATTGATTTATGTCATCTTTACCTCACATTTTATTATCTGAAATATCACTTTTCCAAACTTATGATTCTTTAAACACCACATATTGGTGTCCTTCCGATGAACTACAAAAAGTCTTACGCTTGCTTTGTGAAGAGGATTACGTTCGATTTCCATGCGTTTTCTGTTTTCGTTGTTCACGCTTATTATACTCGTAATCTGATAATCAGAAATAATGACACTACTTATCGTTTGCAAAAATTTTTCAAATAAATCTTACTACTAATCCACGCAACCCAGCAAAAATTGCAATTTGTGATAGATGCAAATCAAATTCTACTGATCGAACATGCTTAACACTTGCTCCAATACCTCAATGTATCCATGACGTACCATATTCAACAAGAAAATGTCTTTCTCCTATTTACTTACATACCAATTAGGTCGTTCCACTGGTGCAAATTCTTTTGTGGAATATCGATTGCTCGTCGGTCAAATAGGCTATTCCAAAAACAGAAGAAATATTTTTACTTTATTCAAGCATTATTGGCGCATTTCTACAAATGCTGATTTGTCCTCTTAATTGTCGGTATCATCCATCCATGCGTTATGCTTGCGACTGGCTGCAACAAAATTATCCTTATCTATCCGCTTATCATTCTATTGCTTCGCGTTTGCTTGCGCATAATTCCCAAACATCTCCTATTGTCTGACTTCGAGCAAACCCATGTTTCAAAAAATAATTTCATCCCATCTCCCGTACATCCGTCAGACATAGTTGTGCATATCTTAAATAACCTATTTAGTTTACTCATCATTTGTTGCCTATTATACTATACTACAAATTTCCTAAGTGATTAATAAAGTATATCCAATACAGTAAATTACCATATGATATACATATTAATATATACAATATAGCCGATGACTCATATCTTCCACTTCCCGTAAATAGATTTCCTTAAACGCAAATAAAAGATTTGTTACATATTAAGCTCGCATGTCGAATTTCCATTATGTTTGTGTTACACAGAAATAAACTCTGCCTCGCTACGATCAAAATGACTCACTACATTCTCATCCAGGTCACGCAATACATTTCTGGTACCAGCTCTACACTTCGCCTTCCTTGCAAACTTGACATCATAATTTGGCACTATGCTGATAAAAAAAATCTTTACGAAAGAACAAAGAAAACGCCAAAGTATCAATCGTGAGTGAATTAGATATCTACGATAATAAACTCTACGTAGAGCTTCACAACTTTGATTTTCTTTCTTTCTTTCCAATATTTTCCTTTTCGATAACTAAAACACGGTGGGCGTAAAAATTAAAGAGGTTTCTGCTGCTTAACTAAACTACGAAATAATTTAACTGGCAAGTAGTATTTTCGGCCATTAATTAGAAATTTCTGCCGGGTCCCCCTTTACCACAAAAAAAAATATCCATCGAAACTGATAACCAAACCACTCTCATTACTACTACTGAAACATATCAACGTCAACAAAGCAACACGATAGAGATTCCGTATCCACTATAGAAAGTGACCAGGAATCAAAGGCTGACAAAACTAAACTAAACTTACCCTTGTATACGGTACAATTCCATGATGGTAGACCTTCATGTAATAAATTGGGTTAATTAAGTTAATTGAATCAATTACAACTAGAAGTTAGTGTTTAAAACCAGTAAAAATATCAATTGTCTAGACTAAATCTGCAAACTTTTTTGAGGGGTGATAACTTTTCTAGCATACGTTACACATTATTATCATTGCTACAATATTACGTCACGCTCACAAACATAATATCGATATATTAATATGCATAACTTCATAACGTTACATACATAATAATAACTTACACTAAAGCCCTCACAAACACATTAACAACCACTTCTTAATAGCAACAGGGGCGAAGCCCCCACATAATTTTGATCTAGTTTATTGAAATCTTTATTAAAAATTACGTAAATACGGCCAAATGTGTGTATATGAAGGGAAAAAAAGTCAAACAAAACAAAACAAGATAACACCCACCAAGTAAAAGAATTATTAAAATATGCGATAGCTCAGACTGTGGCCGTAGCGCACATATTTAGATGGATATCGAGATTCATTACTTTGACGTCAATAGAATAAGAATTAGGCAAATCGTTCGGATTAACTGTGTAGTTAAACTGAAACTTGTCATTTTTTTTGACTGGACATGCGTTATAGAAGTTACAAAACTTGTCACCAAAATTTCTGTTATATTTTGTTTTGTCATTGTAAAAAAAAAAGAGAGCGAAAGCCGAGGAAATATCAACTGGCGCGGTTCCGGCAACGGAAAAAGTAACGGACTGGCCAGAAACAATAGGATCAGGTGATATCGATACGTCGAGAAGCGGTGGATGGGGTTCGGTTTCACCACATACACCAAATTTGGTAGTTCGTTTACTTAATCCATACGGAATAGCGTTAATTACTGAAACTGTAGCAACCAACACAAAGAATAGGAAGAAAATTGGGTGTTTCATAGTTGTTGTAGTTATTGGTCAGTCAATTGACAAGTTTTTTGGTTGATATTATCCAACATGCAATCATGTCATCGTCTTTATAGAAAAATATTTTCCGAAATAATAACTGCATGTGATAATCTTTGTTAGGTAAAATCTCCATAAATGCAACCCGAAAGTGTTATTCTCTCCTAAAATGCAACGATTTGCTCGGGTTTCAAGCACGGAGCTTATAAGTCAATGCAACCCCACATTTTCTGCTAGATCTGGGGGGAAATGATCAACAGTAAGCATAAATACGCGCGCAGTCATAGATAATTTTCGTTTAGCTATTGAGTAAACAAATACAGTCATTATTCCAACAATCAATGTAACTGCATTTAAAAGCATAACAATAGAGTGAACAATAAATAATTACTCTATCTCTAGCCGTAAATACGTAAATAGTAATGTTTGCTTGTTAATTGTCTTGTATAAATTAAGCATAAACTGTTGGGGACGAATCGACGTTATACTTTTGAAATTGCAAACCAAGTGCTATACAGTAACATTATTTTAAATAAAGTAAAACAAGATTTATTATTCCACACTCAATTTTTTTTATTTGTCAACTTACACATGGCAAGTAGAAGTGAACAGTATATTATCAAAATTATTGACATAATTAGTATGACAAGAACATTGTGAAAAACACTTATTGGCGTAGATTAGAAAGTTTGCTCGTTCTCCCGTTTACTCGTTTACATTAGCCTTCGAGAGTCTGGCTGTCCTGTATGTGCGTTTTGTATGCTATTTCTAAAGAAAAATACTATGAAAAGGTTTTGCGATTACAGTGCGATTACAAGCAATTACAGACGATTACAAACGAATACAGTACGATTTCAGGTGTGTTGGAAGAACATTTACAAATAAAACAGTAGTATTTTATTTGTAAAATGTTAGCGAGTATAGCTTATAGTCCTTCACAAAGATACAGCGGTTCATTGAAAGTTACTCCACATACAAACTTCTCCATTCGCATATTCATCCCGCAAGGAAAAGAGAATATTACATTAACTGACTCTTGTATGTATAACAGGAACGTAAACTACTAATCAATGGTAAATGGATTAAACCGAAGCAGAATCTGGTAATAATATTTCTTGTAAGTGCACGTTGATATTGCCTGCTCGCATCAACATCGATATATATATTACCTGAAGCAGAAAAGAGAAATTGACGTACTGTTAAAAACTGAGGTCGCTAATCGACATAACATTAATAACATGTACAATCATCAATTATAAACCTTACCATTCCTCTCAATTATATGTTTGCGAACAAATCTACTCTCTCACTCCATCATTTCTATTGATATTCGTCTTCATTGACAGATTTAAGAAGTGAGTTAAAGTCAATTCCGTATAAATTACTTGATTTTTACTGGCCAATTAATTGGCTATTGTTATACAAATTTTTCAAAGATTTTGATTGGCTAACCTGTGTATTCGTTTGCATGTAGTAAACTCCCTCTGCACTTTTCTTTTTTTTTTTCATATTAAATCATTTCGATAAGTCGGATTCCTTGATAATGCGTTATACTATTTACTATTCAGTTATATTCCACTTCAGATATATATATATATATATCCCCAAAAAGTCTCCGTCCCAAAGTGGGGATATAAACGAGGGATGACTATACATTTTTGCCGATCAATTACTCGATCATGTGAAAAGAACTTATGGAAGAATTTTTTAGGGAAACTTTTTGTATGAGAACGACAACGCAAATTACCAAACCAAATCGCAACGAGGCAACACAATCATCCAGAAAGGTAATAGTGAGAAAAGATAATAGAATGGCGAAGCAAAAAAGCGGAGGCAATCACACCTCCAACTGAAGAAAAATACAAAATTACAGAGCGTTCTAGAAATATAAATTTCCCATGTATTAATATCAACCTAATGTACTAATAATGTATTGATTAAATGGAGCGCTATATTACAATGGTTTGGTCTCAATAATATATCGAAACTTTTATAACAATTTGTTAGTTAAATCGCTTTCAGTAAATTTTCATAATACAGAAGCGGTAATATATAAATTTACAATACTAATGTCAAATTTATTGTTAGCCCAATATCTGTTACAGATTCTTGCTCGTCATTCTGTTTTCCACAATTATACAGATGATCTGGATACCGCTGAATTTGGATTAACTTTATTGTCTCAGTAAACGCTAATACGATACTAACGCAGCGAGATACCCCAAATAAGAGTAGCTATACTATATCAATAATAAATAAGAGATCTTTTAGCTTTATAATCATTGCGACTCGATGAAACGTTCTTTGTTTCTTAAGTTTTCTCATTGTTTGACAGCAGTCCTGCATTTAAATCACTATTTTACTTAAAATAAATCATATCGCAACGAATTTTAGTCTTCATCTCTCACTATTGCTAAATTGTTTCAGTATTCGATACAAGGAATTGAAATAACTTGTATCATTCTTGTATCCTCCTTGCAGTTAACAATTATGCTATAATTATCCAAACAATAGTAATGATTTCTAAACTATAATTATTCAAACAATAGTAATGATTTCCAAAATAGTGTTACATCCTGATTAGGGAAATGGGATTTGTAAAATTTGTCCTGATATGGATATCAAAATAGTACATTTTCATCGTCAACATCAATCACAGATCACGTTACTGCACGGTCTGACTGGTGCACTAAGGGTAGTTTTTCCAAGCAAAGTTCTACGTGTGTAACATCTTTAGTGTGAGACGACATATTGCCCGACTTTGGTTTTCTCATTCAAGTGTCTAAAAGGAGAAACAAAAATTCTGTCATAAAAGAGGGAGCCATCTTTTGAATATACAGTTTTCTTTTCTTCGCTTTCATTATAAATAAATCTCATCGAACATCAACTTACATTTGACAAACAAAATGAGTACACAAGCATCCTCAACCCCGCAAATGTCAGACGAGCTTATCGCTCGACGTAAAGAAATCTTGAAGTTGTTTGATGACGCCGATATCTCTCCATCGCACATTAGGGTCTGCCTAGCCGCAAGCGCCGGTTTCTTTACTGATGGATATAACCTATGCTCTGTGTTTCCGATGACGGTCTATGCTTTTAATGTCGATGAGTCTATTCCCAATCTGATATTATATTCTATTTGGATTGGTGCACTATTGGGCAATTTGCTGTTTGGATACATGACCGACAAATATGGCCGGAAGAAGGTAAGAATAATGAACAGTCCATATTATTAATACGTAGTGTAAATTCTATTTACAGAACTATGATATATGGTTTAATACAGATGTTTGGCGTAGAAATGATAATTATTATTATCGGTTCGGTTTTTTCTGCTATCGCTGGCCAAAGTCCTACCGTATCATTTGTCGGAACTTTTGTCTTTTGTCAATTTATTCTCGGCGTGGGAATTGGCGGAGATTACCCAATCAGCGCACGTACGTACCATTTCAGAATAGTACGCAATTTTAATCTATTAGCGTTTATTCACGTTTTTCTTTATATCTATATATAAAGTTATCATCTCTGAACTTGCGCCAATAAAATTTAGGGGAACAATGTTGGCAGCAGGATTTACTATTTTCACATTTGGGGCGCTTTTGGCTGAAATCGTCTCTTTTATTGCTCTCGTTGCATTCCGGGCTTCCATTCATCAAGATTTGCAAAATCTTGATCATGTGTGGAGGCTTACTGTCGGGCTTGGCGCCGTACCTGCGATAATCGCACTGTACTTTAGGCTATCAATTCCCGAGACGCCTCGATATCTAATTGATGTTGAAAAGGAAATCGATTGGGCTCGCAACATCGAAGTGTCACAGAT